AAGTTATTCTCCAAGCTTATCCAACACTCTAAACTCAAAGATAAAGCACCAGCCAACAAACATAAAGAAAGGATGGGTCCCTCACGGCACCGACTAAAGACATCGGAAAACTGGAGGGACTTAAATTGTGGACGAAAATTTGTGTTTTGTAGAAAAATAAAAAGAAAAAGAGAGAAACATTATTTAAAGCTTCACCCGTCCACGGTTAATTGGCCATCCATGCCCGCTCTCTTAGTCTGTGAGCTCCATCCATCTAACGGACGGTGCATTATTTTTTTCTGCATCACCACTCGACTATTCCTTGTATTTTGATCTCACTTGCACAGTATAGCGAATCATTTTCCGATATGTCATCTATCTTTTTATTACTTCAGCTCAAATATGTTTAATCCTCAAGTCTAAATGGATATATGACGGAAAAGATAAGTCAATTTTGGTGACATAGATAACTAAATTAATACTTTTAAATTTTTCCATATATCATAATTTGAGATGTTACTAAAGCCAATGAATTGTTTTCTTGTTTTGAGCTGAAATCAGGTTAGAAACATGGGCGAATTTAGGAAACTTTTGTAGTGGACGTATAACTTATAAAATATAAATAAAATGACAAGATTAAGATCAAACGTGAGACATCAATGGGTGCATATAGCTGAATCTTTATACGTTTACATACTATGTTTTAATATTTTGATAATTCTATGGGTGTGCGTCCTTAGTTGTTGCCCTGCCTTCGACTTAGAAGTAGGAATGATAAAAAGCGCGGAAATTTTTTATGATTAAAAATTTATATAATTAGGTTTTGTCTTAATTTAAAGAATGTTTTGGTATAAAATTAGTTTACCAAAATTTGTAGTGATAGTTGTTTTTCATTAGTTTTTAGTTTCAGTTTTTATTTTTAGATTTTATTTTAAATTTTGGTTTTTTGGTTTTTAGTTTTTAAGTTTGTATTTTTGATTTTCAGCTTTTGATTTGGGTTTTTAATTTTTAGACCCGCTGAGTTAGTTTGAACTGATATTACCAACAAACAAATCTCTATTAATCGAACATTTAATTTAAAACTGAAAAGATGACAAAATAATTTTCTAAAAATTTTGAAATATTTTATTTTGTAAATAAAAAAGCAAAAAATATAACTTGCGTTTTCAGCTTTTGGTTTTGGATTTTAGTTTTTAGATTTGGTTTTTGGTTTTGCTTTACATTTTTTTTTTAAATCTCTAAATTATTTAAGAAAAATAAAACAATAAATTATTTAAAAGTTACCATTAAAATTTATCAAGATAGAGTGATTGTTATTTAAAATAAAAAATATTAACATGTTTTAAAGTACATGATTTAAATAAGTGATTAATAATAGATAATTTTGTTTTGTTGAAAATATTAAATATTTTTGGACTAAAAAATATTAACATGTTTTAAAGTACATGATTTAAATAAGTGATTAATAAAATATAATTTTGTTTTGTTGAAAATATTAAATATTTATGGGCCTGAAAATAGTAATTGATTTTTGATTCATTAAGGTGGAAAGTTTATTTAATTTTTTGGAGTTTTTCTTTAATACTAAGCCCAAAACCAAACAATTAAATGTCATAAAAATAAAAGTAAGCCCAAAACACTATTCCATAAATAACCGCCGGTTTAATTTAAGTAATGCGGTTCAATCAACTATATAACTTGTATTATTTGTAACACTCTAGAAATGGTCCAAATTTAAATGATAACTTGTATCAGTAGATAAAAAATGACTCTATTTTAATAGAATAGACTAGATTTTGACCCGCGCTTAAAAGCGCGGAAATTTTTTATGATTAAAATTTTATATAATTGGGTTTTGTCATAATTTAAATAATATTTTGATATAAAATCAGTTCACCAAAATTTGTGGTGATGATTGTTTTTCATTAATTTTTAGTTTCAGTTTTTATTTTTAGATTTTGGATTTTGGTTTTTAGTTTTTAAGTTTCTACTTTTCATTTTCATTTTTTGGTTTGGGTTTTTAATTTTTAAACCCGCTGAGTTAGTTTGAACAAATATTACCAACAAACAAATCTCAAATAATCGAACATCTAATTTAAAACTGAAAAGATGAAAACAAATATAAAAAGAAAATTGAAATAGTTTATTTGTAAATAAACAAAGCAAAAAAAATATAATATGTGTTTTCAGCTTTTGGTTTTGGATTTTAGTGTTTAGATTTGGTTTTTGGTTTTGCTTTACATTTTTTTAATCAATAAAATATTTAAGAAAAATAAAACAATAAATTATTTAAAAGTTACCATTGAAATTTATCAAAACAAAGTGATTGTTATTTAAAATAAAAATATATATTAACATGTTTTAAAGTACATGATTTAAATAAATGATTAATAATGGATAATTTTGTTTAGTTAAAAATATTAAATACCTTTTAGGTCTGAAAATAATAATTGATTTTTTGATCTTTTAAGGCGAAAAGTTTATTCAATGTTTTTGGAGTTTTTTCTTAATACTAAGCGCAAAAACCAAACTATATAATTTGTACAAAAAATAAAAGTAAGTCCAAAACTATATTCCATAAATAACCACTGATTTAATTTAAGTATAATTAGTAGATTTCCATATTCCATATTTTGATGATATATATTATTTTAGAACATTCCATATTTGTAGGAGAAAGTATGTGTTTTTGGTATACACATAGATATCTGCCGTATTTTGAAAATAGTTTACATTAAGGTTGTCTTTTTACATTAATTTTGTTGGTTTAATTTAAGTAATACGGTTCAATCAATTGTATGACTTATATTATTTGTAACATTCTAGAAAGAGTCCAAATTTAAATGACAACTTGTATCAGTAGATAAAAAGAATGACTCTATTTTAATAGAGTAGACTAGATTTTGACCGCGCTTGAAAAGCGCGGAAATTTTTTATGATTAAAAATTATATAATTGGGTTTTATATTAATTTAAAGAATGTTTTGGGATAAAATCAGTTCACCAAAATTTGTGGTGATGATTGTTATTCATTAGTTGTTAGTTTCAGTTTTTATTTTTAGATTTTGTTTTAAATTTTGGTTTTTGGTTTTTAGTATTTAAGTTTCTATTTTTGATTTTCAGCTTTTGGTTTGGGTTTTTAATTTTTAGACCCGCTGAGTTAGTTTGTACTGATATTACTAACAAACAAATCTCAAATAATCGAACATCTAATTTAAAACTGAAAAGATGACAAACTTTTTTTAAAGAAATTTTCAATAGTTTATATTGTAAATAAATAAAAGCAAAAAAAGATAACCTATTTTTTCAGTTTTTGGTTTTAGATTTTAGTTTTTAGATTTGGTTTTTGGTTTTGCTTTACATTTTTTTAAATCAGTAAATTATTTAAGAGAAATAAAACAATAAATTATTTAAAAGTTACCATTGAAATTTATCAAAACAAAGTGATTGTTATTTAAAATAAAATAAAATATATTAACATGTTTTAAAGTACATGATTTAAATAAATGATTAGTAATAGACAATTTTGTTTTGTTTAAAAATATTAAATACCCTTTGGGCTTGAAAATAATAACTGATTTTTTGATCCATTAAGATGGAAAGTTAATTTAATGTTTTTTGAAGTTTTTCCTTAATACTAAGCCCAAAAATCAAACCATATAATTTGTTTTAAAAACAAAAGTAAGCCCAACACTATATCCCATAAATAACCATCGGTTTAATTTAATTAATGCGGTTCAATTAACTATATGACTTGTATTATTTGTAACACTCTAGAAAGAGTCTAAATTTAATTTGACAACTTGTATCAATAGATAAAAAGAATGACTCTATTTTAATAGAGTAGATATGTAATATTGTAATTATACGCTTATTAAATTTACTAACATACCAACTTCAATCCGATGATCAAGTGGCACTAATATACCTCATCCTGCTGTGGAAGAGAGTGTATATGGATCCCAAGAATGGATCAATAGTTATTTATGTTGAAAACATAATTCTGATTTTTGGTTGCAAGCCTTGTTTTCTTTAGGTTAAAAAAAGGGGAAATTGGAAAAATAGGCCATAATATAAATGTTTTTGTCTTTTTATACCTTCACAATAATTAGTCAGTTTTTGACATAAATACCCTCATAATAATAGAAATAATTATTAAAAATGATACAAAGCTCAAAAAAATATAAAAAAATCATTATAATCATAAGAATATTTTATAGGTTTTGCTAAAAAAAAAAAAAAACTTCAAATACAGTTTGGATGTGTTGATCTAGATTTGTAAGAATGTATATTATAACTGTTTTTACGAAGCTAAAATACACATTCTAACTTGTCTTCAACGTTTTATCAAATTTAGTATTTATATTGTAACCATATGTCTATGATATAGCTAATATAGAAGACGTAGGTCCACATTCTAACCAAGACACTTTATTATTTCAAACTTACAATATTTGTTGTAACCAAGACACTTTATTATTTTAAACATACAATATATGTTGTAACCCTTTGTCTATGATCTAACTAATATAGAATACGTATGTTTACGTTCTAACCAAGACTCTTTATTATTTCAACTATAGAATATATGTTCTATCATTCATTCTATAATATATCGTAGATAGAACGTCGTGTTTTTACTTTATCATATGTTCTAAGTAGTTAGAATTAATAGTATAATCTTCTATCAGTGTTCTATCCCGTTTAGAATATGTATTCTATATTTTCAGTTATTTTGTGCGAAAATTTAGAAAAAATCAGTAACTACCTTTTATTCAAGTTTATCTTTGGACGAAAATTTACATGGGAATTGCGTTGAATTCATCCCTTGTTTGATTCAACGATCTTCTTCCTTTCTTCTTCTTCTCTATTTCTTCTTTATCAAATCAAATGGTTCTCATCTATGTTTCATGTGGTGTTTGGAGACGGGATGTGAATAATGAGTGGAAGTTCATTGTTGATAAGGAAAAAAAAGGCAGATTACTCTCGTTGGAAGCAAGTACTACAGTAGAGCAATTGAAGATGATGGTTTTGGAGGATTTTGGAATGCACGAGAAGATTGTTAGCGCTGAGTTGAGTTATTTTCCAAGTTCTTTGATGAGTAATTTAGGAATTCCACCAGTTGTTATTTCCAATGATCGCCAAGTTTGCAGTTTTATTGGATATAGGAAGAAAAATTCATCCATCTACTTGTGTGTGTCATTTACGGGTATGGTTGGGAAGCGAAACAACAATTTCGATCTGAATGAGAAGCCTTCTAACTCAATTTTCTTGTCAAGCTTCTCCCCCATTACAGTGATGGTTGTTTGAAACGTATGCTGCAAGAATCTCTTCAAGTCTTCATTCTCCATCTCCACACCCGCCTCATCTTGTTCCTCATTTATGGAAGCTGTTTTCAATTGTTTTGGAAGCTCATAATCCATAACCTGCAAGCAAACAAAAAATAAGAAAAATAGATTAATACTTTACAACTTAAAGAATCAAACTAATCAAGACAAGCTCAAGTAAAATAAACAACTAAAACGAGCTCAAGTAAAACAATAACATTCATATATACCTTCACCAAGAGGAAGACAAAACTGTGTTTGATAATTTGAGTGAACCGAATTCCCTAGAGTGTCCAATCTTCTTTCTTTTATTGACCTATGAAACAAAGAAAACAAGTTATAGGCTTGATAACAAAAAGTTGCTGATTTTTGAGTTTTTAATGAATTCAATATGACTTTGAATCACATTCCTCATAATCAAAGAATTATTCAATGCATGTTAAATCCCAAAACGTAGGAGAAGAAGAACACTTGAAGCAAACACTTACTCAAGTTGAAATCCGAAATCAGAAAGAGGATTCGTCGGAGAGAGGATTCGTCGGGGAGAGGAGACGGGTCTGAGACGGAGCTTCGTCGGAGAGAGGAGACACGGGTCAGAGACATAGCTTTGTGGGAGAGAGGCCGGACTTCGCCGGAGAGAGGCCGGAGAGAGGCCGGAGAGAGGTCGGAGAGAGGTTGGAGAGAGAGAGAGAACCTCCTGCTTGGTTTCTCTCTTTCGTTTGTCGGAGAAAGAGACTGAGAAAGGAGATGACTTTATTAAGGTTTTTAAAAAAAAAAATTAATAAACATAGGGTTAATTTTGTATTTAATTGGGTAAAGGTATATTTAGACAAAAGTAAAATGGACAAAGGTATAGGGTGACAAACTCATCCTCAAATTGGCCCGATTAGCCAATTTTCTCTTAAAAAAACTCTGTTTTATGGTCATTTAAAAAAAAAAATTGAGTTTGTAATTCTTTTTTGTTAATTAATTATTAAAAATTTCAAAAAACAGTTTACTACTATTTTCAGTATTATTGTAGAGATGTATTTTATGATATCCCAATAAATAAACGTTGAAGGATTTATTTGTTTCCATTTACCCGATTTAGAACTTACATCATCAACTGTCATCAGTTCATGTCAACCCTAAAACTACGGTCGAATCAGAACCGTTAGATCTAACTTTGAGGACGTAACAAGGCCCCACGTTCCCACCACTTCACGTTCAGACCTAAAGTCTTAAACCCTCCAAATCTACACAACACACTCTTCTCTTCCTTCTCTCTCTCTCTCTCTCCGCCTCCATTATCTTCGAAAGACCAAATCTCATCCTCTCTCTCTCCGCCATTAAGCTTTCTCTTTTACATATACAACAAAGAGAGAGAGAGAGAGAGAGATCTTTAAGATGCAGACAGCAAACAACGGTCCAGATTCGTCATCAGCCGCAACAACACCACCGTTGCAGCAAACCACTCCTCCACCTCAGCAACAACAACAGTGGCAGCAACAGCAGCAATGGATGGCGATGATGCAGCACCCTGCGGCTATGGCTATGATGCAGCAGCAACAGATGATGATGTATCCTCACCAATACGCTCCCTACAGCCAAGGTCACTATCAGCAGCATCCTCAGTTTCAATACGCTGCCTATCAACAGCAGCAGCAGAATCACCACCAGCGTGGTGGATCTGGTGGAGATGATGTGAAGACTCTCTGGGTTGGTGATCTTCTTCATTGGATGGACGAGGCTTATCTCCACACATGTTTCTCTCACACCAACGAGGTTATTATTACCTTCTTTCTTGTGGTCTGGTTCTTTGTTGTGATGTTGTTCAGATCGGTTTGGTTTTCTTTGTTAGAATCTTTTTTATTATCTGACATTGAAAGTGATAGATGTAACATTCATTACCAGATCTGAGTAACATACAAGCCATATGGTTGACTTTTAGTGTGATGTAGAACTAGTGCTGGGCATTTCGGTTTTTGGTTCTAGTCGGTTCCGGTTATTCGATTTTTGGGCTTAGGTGTTTAGGACCAGTTTAGTAACAATTTTCAGATCAGATCTGTTTGGATAATGTTGGGTTCGGATGGGGTTTCTATTTTTATTATAAAACCAAAGTGAACCCGATTAGGAGTAGTTCATGTTTGGTTCGAGTTTAAAGCCAAAAAACATCTCTAAGACTAAAAAACAAAAAATATTTGGATATTTCGGTTCGGTTTTGGATTTCCCACTATAGGAAAATAATAACCATTTTTTTTTGTGTAAATTTCGATCCGTTTCTGTTTTTAGGTTCTCGGCAATATGTCCAGGACTATGTAGAACTACGTCGACCTTTAAAAGAACAACTTTAAAGTTCTGTCTTTGTTTTTTTTTACTGTTAGCTTTTCCAACATGGTTTCATGTTCTGTCTGGTTTCTTGTTTTGCAATGTTTCAGGTTTCTTCTGTGAAAGTCATAAGAAACAAGCAAACTTCTCAGTCAGAAGGGTATGGTTTTGTGGAATTCCTCTCACGTTCAGCAGCTGAGGAAGTTCTTCAAAACTATAGCGGTGTAACAATGCCCAACGCAGAGCAGCCCTTCCGTTTGAACTGGGCGTCTTTCAGTACCGGTGAGAAGAGGGCATCAGAGAACGGTGGTCCAGACCTGTCGATATTCGTTGGAGACTTAGCTCCAGATGTCACTGATGCTACATTGCTCGAGACTTTTGCTGGATACCAATCTGTCAAAGGTGCAAAAGTTGTGATTGATTCCAACACTGGGCGTTCCAAAGGTTACGGGTTTGTCAGGTTTGGTGATGAGAACGAGCGGTCAAGGGCGTTGACTGAGATGAATGGTGCTTTCTGCTCGAGCAGGCAGATGCGTGTTGGTATTGCAACACCTAAAAGGGCTGCTGCTTATGGCCAACAAAATGGTTCACAAGGTAAGTCATGGTAACGTTTTAGTTTGTTGTATTGGTGTTTTTTTAACTTAGCATTTTGTTATGTTTTAATTGAATTTTAGCTCTGACACTTGCTGGTGGACATGGAGGAAATGGTTCGATGTCTGATGGGGACTCAAACAACTCAACAGTGAGTTCTCTTAGCTATTCTTATTCTAACAACACTATGACTAACTTCGGCTTATTGTCTTTTATTACATTGCAGATATTTGTTGGTGGACTTGACGCTGATGTCACTGAAGAAGACCTCATGCAACCTTTCTCCCAGTTTGGGGAGGTTGTTTCAGTGAAGATCCCAGTAGGAAAAGGATGCGGTTTTGTCCAGTTTGGTAACAGGTACTTAACATGTTCTGTGCTTGTCTGCTTACTCATCCAGTAGTGTAGGACTTGTTCTATTTAACAGTGATGTGACATTGGTTTTGACAGGCAGAGTGCTGAGGAAGCCATTGGGAACTTGAACGGGACAGTCATTGGGAAAAACACTGTCCGGCTATCTTGGGGAAGAAGCCCTAACAGACAGGTACAAAGAAAACTGAAGTTGGATTAGTGTGTTTTATTCTATAATGCATTTCTCTTAGAATGGTCCAGGGTCAAAACTTAGTTTTTATGTTCTTTTGGGTACTTTTTTTTCTTTCTGTCTCCATGGAGTGGATAGAGTTTTGTAGATCCTTAAGCCAAAGTCAGAGGTTGACAATGGATAGTAGGTATACTGCGGGCCATAGTGACCTAGTGGAACCTCCTAGCGTTGACTATTTTGATTCGCATATCTAATGCTGTCTCCTTGGCCCACTTCTTACCCTTGATGTTTTTGTTGAATGTTAGTTTAAGCCATTTACTAATATTGTTCAACTTTTAAAACTTAAAATGACAGTGGAGAGGAGACTCGGGCCACCAATGGAACGGAGGATACTCAAGAGGACAAGGTTACAACAACGGATATGCTAACCAGGACTCAAACATGTATGCTACTGAAGCTGCTGCTGTCCCTGGAGCTTCTTGAGAGTGTTGGTAGTGTCACTATCATAAAAGAAAACCATGAGTCCTGGACTTGTGGGAATTGGTTTCTAAAAACAAAGTCATCGGAATGTCAAAGCGATTCGATGATTAGTTGTTGGTTCAGAGGCTAGCTCGCAACAACAAAACTTAAAAAAACCTCTAGTGTCCCAAGAGGGTTTTGTATCCTGGATTTGAATTTTTGCTTTATCTTTGCTGTCTCAGTCTCTGTCAAAACTTTGGGGTTGTCTTAAAACTTGAATTTTATTCTCAGTTTCTTTAAGTTTATTTGTCATGTTAGAGTTTCCTCTAAATCAAGAGCATGTTCCACTATTAAGTAATTTACCAAATCGTTTGGATCATTATTTTGCAGTGCTCTGACAAGTTTTATATATATTTCAGGAAAGTGGCACTACAACCACTAATAACCATCTGCCATAGCAGTACAAAACTCGTGTCTATAAAAGCCACACGAGACATTCTACCTATCATCATTCTCTATACAACACAAAAGAAACCAGATACCCCCAGCCTACACTAACAGGTAGAGGCCCCTCTTTCATTGGCAAAGAAAGTATCAAGCCATTGGGGGTGTGCTACCGCCACGTAAGACTGCATTAACCCCAAGTTTATGACACTTTGAGCTATGAAAGTAACACACACCTCTAGTAGAATCCAAAGTCATCAACTTCAACTCCCACTCCCAAAAAATCTGCAAACCTAATTCACTCGCTTGAAAAAGCAGCGCAGGCCATCGAGAAGGGCTTGATATTGCCCAAAATACATCAAGACAGTCAGACACAACGGAGTCCTTAACTTTCTTCAAACTATGCAGGCTCTCAATGGCCCAAAACATTACTTCACATTTCTAGATCAACGTTTTAATACCTGTGAAAGCTTGTCTAGAATGAAGTTTGATATCTCAAAATCCACGCAGCTCCTGCAGTTTCAGATATCTTATTCCACTGAAGCCCAACTTCACACCGAATCCATCCTGCTGGAGGGAGACCAACACTTGAGGTTGTCTCCTGCCACACCTCCTCCATACTGTCAAGTTCACACTCCAATTTTTGATCTGTGAACCACATCAAAGCTTCTTCCTGTGCCTTAGTAATGACCTTAGTAATGATATCCATAGGGGATAATTATTTTCCTTCAAACAACCAAGTATTCCTGTTTTTCCACAAAAACTAGAGAATCCATGGCCATGAGCGTCTTATCTCTCTACCCACCTGCAGGTTCGTCAAAATCTTCAAAAGATACTGAAAGTTTTCAAAGATAGAAAGCCGGCTCAGGAATATTGGATAAGGCTCAACTCTGTCTCTAGACAGCACACTGAAAGAGTAAGTGATTTAAGGATTCACCAACCATCCCACAAATCTGACATCTATCATCACTTTTTCGTACCCCTTGCCGAGATAAACTCAGCCACCGGCAATGCATCAGACAAAAGCTTCCACATAAAACACTTTATCTTTGGGGGAGGAGCAAGAACCTTCCACACTTCTTGCTTTAACCCATTGAGTGAAGGCAACGCTTGAGCCTCTCTACGCAGCTCCACATTCTTCTCCTTGGTAGCCAACCAATATCCTGATTTAAAGTGTATTGGCAACACCCAGAGGTGTTTCTTAGACGCTACCGGCTGTTGCTGAAGCAGATTCCAAAGCTCTGGAAGGGGACAAAGACCTCTTCCAGAGCTTGTCTAATCAGAATCCTAATGTCTGAGGGGACAAGTTTTTAACTTGTGTTTGGTTCATTTATCAAAACCAAAAAAAAACTGATTCGCGAAAACATGAAACTTTGGTTAGATTCAGAATACGAAAGCAAATAAATTCGATTTTATAAAATTTGATTCTTTATTTTTCTCAAAGACTTTCCTACAAGCCATATTCAAAAGCTGAGACTCCCTGCCACAAATTGAATAGGATTGTACAACAAAGAGAGAGTGATTAATAAGGAACAACAGTTAAAAAGACAAGACCAACCAGAGAGTTTGGGATTGAACGTTTTGAAGGAATAACTGATGCTCTCCTCTGTTACGTAGCATCAAGTGATGGTTTCATCAAAAGGGTCTGTTGTAAAGGCCAAGCAATGATTTTTCTCTGTCTTCAACTCGTTTCCTAGCAGCTTCTCTCGCCCTCAACGCAGCTTTCTCTTCTGCAGATACTTTCTTCGGTTTCTCATCTATCCTCTTTCTCTTGTTGTTGTTGCCAATCTCAATAGATGAGGCAGCTCCTTTCACATTTCTCTTCGGGTTTAAAGTGGCCGAGACAACCCTCCCAGGTGGTTTCGCTGTACTAGGTCCAGCTTCTGAAGAAATCACAGGCTTTTTAACGAGAGGCAGTTTAGTGTCTTTATCTGATGAAGTTTTAACCGCAGCGTAAGCCTCGTCTTGTGTTACCCAACGTCCTGTTTCATTACCAGTGTAAGCATAGACAAAGAAATATTTGTATGTTTAAAAGCAAGTAAAAAGAAAGCTTGATAACACTATAACATACCTATCGAGTCACTGTAGTAGAATCCAGACTTTGAGTCATAGTGCAGACCATTGATCTGGTTGTAATAATATCCCGAAGCAGCGTCAAGAACCCAATCTGCCATAACAATATGATTACTAAATGAGACAAAAAAACAAATCTATAGCTAACAAAAGTTCCAAACAAAATGGTGAATGAACCTGAAGAGTGACTCAAAAGACGCAACCATTTCGCTCACTGGTGATGATTCTCTATACAGTAGTTATAGGCAATTAAAACTTATACAAGTCAAAAAAGTCTTTTTTGCAAACTGTGTAAGACGACAATGGAAGCATCAGATGTACGCAATTCACAGATTCAATTTCATTGATCATATAACCGTTTAAAAAGAATCAGTGTATTAAGTATATATAAGCAACAACGATGAACGTAACAAAACTAGCTAATGGGTGACATAAAAAATAACATGACCAATTTAAAAAGAATGGTTAGAGAGATACTTACCACGTGTACCATCTTCGGGTGCACCGTTAGCTTTGGCAACTTCATGAGCAGTTGCAATGTCTTTCTGATAGCTACGAGTTGCTTTCTGAAACAGATACAATCGAAATCAAATCAATAAGTATGATTATTGACAAAAGAAACAAAAGATTACTTACAGCTTCGATCTGTTGAAGGAGTTTCTCGTTCTTCTTGAGCTCTTTGTCTTTGGCAGCGCTCTTCTCTCGCATATCAGTGAGCTTCTTCTCGACACATTCACGGTGATGTTTGCCAAGCTCATGGTTTCTGATACTTGTCGCGTTGTTCTGTGTCCAGAGCTTACAGAACTCGCACCACTTCTTCCCTTGACTTACCCAATACTGTTTATACAAAAAAACACAAACTCAGATCAAATTCAGATCAATTTGCAAGAGAAAAGATTTGTAGTCAATAGATTCGTACGAAAAAGTAAATCAAGAAAAGATACAAAAGATCTGTGAGTTGTTGATTTACCTCAGTCATGGTTGTCGATGGAGGATATGAAGAACGAAGCCGAATTCAAGAATCCAATTGAGAGAGAGAGAGAGAGAGATTCCAAACCCTAATTCTCCAATCGAAACCTAGAGAGAGAAGACAATAAGTGATTTGGGGGAAAAGAAAAGCATTCAGTTTGCGTTTTTATTTATTTATTTCAATCATTGAACCGAACCAAACTTTGGTACGAACAAAATAAATTTGGTTTAATCGAACCGGTCTCGGTTTAATAATTAATTGTGACGACGACGGAGCCTATAAATATCACCCAGACATGGAAAGCTTTTCTCACTTTGCTCTCTTTTTTTCTGTTTAGTTTCATTGCGAGTTTTTTAGGTTTTCGTTGCGATTTCAAAGTTTTAGGGTTTCGTGAAAAGAAAGAAAGAAAGAATGGTGAAAAGAGGAGGGACGAAGAGGAAGTCAGATATGAAGAAGATAACTGACAAAGCATCGCGAGCTACTACTTTCTCCAAACGCAGAGACGGTCTCTACAGTAAAGCGGCTCAGCTTTGCCTTCTCTCACACGCTCAAATTGCCATCTTAGCGACTCCTTCGTCTTCAAACTCCAACGCTTCTTTCTTCTCCTTTGGTCACTCCTCCGTTGAATCTATCGTCTCTGCTTATCTATCCGGAAAGAGACTTCCTCATGTTTCATGTCGTGGTGATACCAAAGCGATGAGAGAAGACTTAGGTATATGTATGTCTCGCATGGATCTAGGGTTAGGGTTTTGGTGGAACAACGAAAAGCTTGTCAATTCTAAGAATCGGGAAGAGATTATGGAAGCGATGGAGTCAATGGAAGTACTCATGAGCCATCTCAAGGCACTGAAGAATCAAAGCCTAACAACAACGGTGGAGCAGGAGCACGAGGACAAGGCTGTTGAGATTTCACCTGACGATGACTTGGATGAATGGAGCGAGATGGAACTTACTCGACTCCTCCAAGATTGTGATGATGTTCCACGTAACAGTGACAAAGAAGAAGAAGCAGATGTATCTGAGAAAACCTGCAACAGCAACAACTTTGTAGAAGATGAAAAAGTGGATATTGATTGGGATAATGTTTTTGTATTCGATGAGGAGCTTAGTGATGAGCAGCTCGATCAGTTGATTAGTAACACTGACAAAAAACAAGAAGAAGAAGAGGATCAGACTGTATGCAACAACAACAACAACTTTGTATCATTACCTGAAGTTGCAGGAAGAAGCTTGGAAGAGGAGGCCATGGATATTGATTGGGATACTATTCCTTCATGTTTTGCATCCAATATCGTTGAGGCGCTTAATGATGAGGAGCTCTATGAGTTGATTTATAACTAAGTAAATCTTTTGTTTTGTTTAGAGACAATTAATTGTTCATGTAATTTGTTGAGATCGTATGTACACGGTTTGGGCTCGATCAGTTTTCTCAGATAGATGTGAGAATATTAATGATCGAACTCCTCATACCAGGTAATTTGGTTTGTGTCTCATTGTCTTAAATGAACTAATGTAATAAAATGTTTGTTCAAGTAAAATTTTGACTTTGTCTACTTCTTCTAGTTCTGTTCCTTCTTTTTTTTTTTTCTTCTGGTAGTGATCTTCGCTTGCAGCTTCAGTAAGAATTTTGAACCAACTGACAAGTTTATAAACAAACATAAATAGGGACATATAACTGAGCAGTGAGCTTCACATTGTACTAATCAATCTTACAAAAATTGATTGTTGTGAACAGAAGCTGGATCTTCTAGTACATAGCCAACACCACCTCAACAAAGTACAAAAGACTCTCTGCAATACAAAGCATGACGAACAACCAAACACACTCCGTCTCTTCATCTTATAGACTTATACTAATAGTTAAAAACTGCAAAACCTCCTTAAAAGCATTATAGAGTCTTCACTTCACACAATCCAGTTTTCAGAAGCGGCCCCTTTCCTCCAAGCTTAGATGGTAAAGAAAATAGAAAGAGGAGACATGGATGCAGTGAAAGGCGCTGCTTCTCTCAAGAATATAGATGCACATGGATGCATATTAATACTTTTTCGGGTAACTTTCCACTAATTGTTTTTTTGTAAAATGACTAGATTACGAGAGTGTATTCATATGTTGCTTGTTGGAGTGTCTATCCTAAGTTTATGCGTGATGAAATGCACAAAATAGTCATTATGAAAATTCTTCATATAATTATCCTAAGTTTATGCGTGATGAATGGCACAAGATTTTGGTTCGTGAACTTCCCATTGTGATATTCAAATCTTTATAAAAACTGATCCGCACCTCACAACAGAGTAAGAAAAAAAAAGACTCTGTTACACTTGTTAATACAAAGAATGAAAAGAAACAAAGACACTCTGTCTCTTTATATTATATCATGTTACAAGCACAAGTTTATATGAAGGAGGGTTCCTGAATCAAACCATAACAGCTACAGATTTCATAATGAGAAAAAAAAAAAAAAATTCATAATGAGAAAGTTTCCCGGCAATCAAATAATTAAAGATCATCACACCATCAGGCTTTAACCCTAACTCTTCCCTCTCCTTGGCGTCTTTCCAGAGAACCAGATTCCCTCTTAAAACGCCAACTTCTGCAAAACGCACAGTCCCTGACCACCCCACACGGTTTTGTCTCAGCCAACAATACCGCTCACTACTCCCCCAAAACCTCTGTTCTGAAGCTAAGATTCGTTCCACGCCTCTACGAAAAAAAACTATCTGTTTCACTCTTTCAAACTCTTAAGAGATTCATTGTCTGATTAAAACGTGACAAATAAAACCAAGAAACCTTCAGAAGTTTACCTTTACATCAAAACGTGCCACTAGTGTCTTTGTGAGAGACAAATAAAGGAGATAGCAGAAAAGAAGAATCTTTTGTTAAGGTTAAAAAAGAAAAAAATCTTATGGTAATAGTGTTGATAAAATTTGAAACACGAAATCCGTTAATTTGTTATAACTTAGTACATGTTTAATGAATGACAATGACTCTGCTGGTAAACTACCTCTATTTTCTCCCTCTAGACTTGGGTTCAAGCCTCTGGGTATGCAAGTATTTTGACATTGGTTTTTTTTTTTTTATTTTTTTTTTTTTTGACGAACCGTGTGCGTGTTTGATGTAGAGTTAGAAAGTCCCAATCTTTTTTTTTATCGCTTCGTTAACCAGAATTGGTCACACAAAACCCTAACCTAGATTTGTTTCTCTCCGCTTTCTGACTGCTCGATTAGCCAGTCATTACATAGCTTAGCTTGTGTCTCTTTAGAAAGACCGAACCCTTTTTGCTTCAGTTTGAGCTGATAGATAGAGTCAGTGACCATGTCTTGGGCTGGTCCTGAAGATATATTCCTTTCAACTTCACTCGCCAGTTATCTCGATAGAAAGATACTAGTGCTCCTTAGAGATGGTAGAAAGCTAATGGGAACACTCCGTTCTTTTGATCAATTCGCTAATGCGGTTTTAGAAAGTGCTTGTGAGAGGGTAATTGTTGGTGAGCAATACTGTGACATTCCTTTAGGCCTTTACGTAATCCGTGGAGAGAATGTTGTTCTTATTTGACCTTGACACGGAGAGAGAGGAGCTTCCTCCACATATGATTCGTGTCTCAGAGACAGAGATTAAAAGGGCGCAAAAAGTTGAGAGGGAAGCGAGTGAGTTGATGGGAACAATGAGGAAGAGAATGGAGTTTCTTGATTTTGATTAAGCCTTGATTGTATCCCCTAATAGCTTGCAAGTTTTATGAGGAGCCTTTTTGGTATGTGGATGGAGGAGAGATGTGTTGATTAAGGGGACACTGATGTAGGTCTCATTTTTCATTTTTTGGAAGAGTATGACAGAATAATCTGTGTTACTTCTTGTTTGAGGATCTTATCTTACATTTTTACTAAATATGGAATAAGTTTGACAAAAAAAAAAAAAAAACTTAGTACATGTTCATGGAAACATGATCAAACAAGGTGATGACATAACTTATGAGTTATGAGGATAGTCCTTATAAATAGATAACATATCACTGAGTTTAATTTAGATCTAGCATTATGAGATTTTCTTGGGTTCACCCCTAGGGTGAACCTCTAGATTCACCAGCCACTAAAATACTGCCTCATATCTAGTTTTTCAGCAAAAAAAGAAATAAAATTAATTAGAAAATAGAAATTATTAGCTAAAAAAAGGAAAAAAAACATAATAGAACACGGCAGTTCCGTTAACGGCTGCTTTTAACTCTTCTTCTGTGATCGAGGAGAAACACGTGGAAGAAAAAAAGAGGTATCAGAGAAGAATAGCAGAGAAGAATCCAGGTAAACGTTAACATAATCGTTGTTAGATTTTCTTTAATCACATCAAATTCTCAAAATTTATATATAAGATTGGTCACCTAACCCTAAAAGAGTAACAGAGAAGAATCCACGTTAACATAATTGTTGTTAGATTTTCCTTAATCACATCAAATTCTCAGAAACTAATGAATTTAGCAAAGGATTTCGATTTTATCTATAGCGGATACGTCTGATGAAAAGGTTACGTTTCTGTGGAAGCATTGCTTTTGTAGTTTTGTTTGTCATTGCCGTTACAGGTATCAACATGGTTTTTCATCTCTGCATTGTTTACATCTTGTAGTTAGGTTCAGTATCAAATTAATCCTTTGATTGATTGCAAAATATATGGTTTTCAGCTGAAAATTTAAGAAACTAAATCTTGTACAGGCCATGAGAGGAGGGATGCAGATTGTTACTTGTTGCTGCATGTATATGTAACCTCCACAAATGTTATTTGTAGAGAATGTTGTCGGATTTGAGGTATGTGTTTAGTCATATGTACTTATCTCCAGTACTGTGGTCTTTCTTTCCTTAGTTATCTATTGTACTTGTTTTCTCTCTCTTTTGCAGCTTTTATCTTTTTGTTTTTGGTTAAAGGATCCTATGAACTTTGAAATCATTTCATTCTTGTTACTTTGTAGGCGAAAAGAAAGCCTCTGTAATTGCAGTCACAGGTCCATAACAACAATGGATCCAGAAATATCACAACAATGGATCAAGATCACTTCACAATGGATCATCAACACGGCCGCAAGAAATCTTCACAAAGATGGACAAGCAGGTCCGGAACATTATCTTGGCAAGGAAGCATCGAAGGAAATTCAGAA